TTTTTTCGACGTGTTCTCACCAGGTTTCACCACACATCGGCCTCTGCAGGATCTCACCAACCTGGACCTCTCACCAACCTGGCCTTGCCTCGGTGGCCAACTCTTGTGCTTCACTCAGCTGTCTCTTCACCTGCAGTTCTGGCGAAAAACAGACCGAGTTTTTTGGCCACTCTCCAGGGTCGTGCGGACTTCCTTTCACTGGGTCCTTTCTCATACCAAAACATGCAAAACAAACATGCGCGATTCTTTTGCAACCGGGTTTGGTGGCCAGAAGTGGGATGTCCATGTCAGTACCCACGTGATGGGAGTGCGCCCTGGATGGTGAGTGGAGGAGTTGGTGTCATGTATGCTATCAAACAGGTCACAGTCACAGCATCCTCGTCTCGTTGGGCTCAAACAAGATACACATGTGTCTCAAAGGCTCGTGTGATGTTTACAGCTGAAGGTCTCGAACACAAAATAAACACAACATATTGAAAGCAAACCTTGCTGAATCTTCCAATTATGTATATCTATATCACCAGGAAAGCCATTAAACAAAAAAAATATGTCAAACGGCCTTGACCATGTCTGATCATTACGGCTTTGATTGTCGATCTGGAGCCACTTGTGTGAGAGTTGCTACGTCTTTTTACGGCTTCTCTTTAGCAACATGTTGAAACCATACGGTTTTGTTACGGGTAGGCCTGCCAGTCTTTTGACCATCTTTTTGGGCCTGGAGTCATTACGTAATGGGTAACATTCGTATTGGGACAGATTTTCGTTATATACAATGATTTGGACAGATTTGTGTTATTATTTAATGTATTTTTTGTATATTTTTGGACATATTGGAGATTCATGAACACCATCAAATGCCTCCGCACACCGGCGCGCGGCCCAAACCTTGCAGGGATTCACATCCCGGGCAAACAGCAGTTTTCACCCATCGCCGAGATTCACCGTTACGGTACCCACAGCAACATCGGACTTGACGGTGACCAGACATGTCAGGCCGGACTCCAGGACTCCATCAGTGTTTCACAATGCTTGGCATCTTCCCATCACGTTCGCGGGGATCCGAACGGATGCCGTGTTCCGGCCCGAACTGGCCGAACTGGTCGAGTTGCTTCGTGGGATCGAACGCATCCAGCTCGAGCAAGGAAGGATGCCACATGATGCCACCAAAAGGAAGTGTCCGCAATTTAAAAGAAAAACACATCCGATCGAATTGGCGGCACAACTTACACACAAATTGTATCATTCGAGTTCAAGGATTGATTTCTTTTACATGGATATCAATGACATCCAACACATTCCAACACTACACCTCCCAAACAAAGTCTTTGCTTCTAATTCAATTCTCAGCAAGGGTGCTTAGACCCTTTCGGAGATGGAATATGGACATCCTAGGAACTTGGAACGAACACTACATGCGCAGCCCACTTTAGGAACACACACTCTCAAGTGCTTGTCGAAGGCAATCCCTCCCTCTTTGCACCACCCATCCGCGGTTCAAACCCACGCGGACGCGCAGCACAGGACACCGGGACCGCGCAGCTTCCCAAGCGGACGCGCGGCGTCCGGTTGGAACCTCGCGCCTCGGCCAACTCCGGAACGTTGGTGGTCGGCTTCACACCACGACGCGTGGCCGAAAGCTTCTCCTGGCGGAGCGGCGATGGAGCTGCGCTGGCGGCTGCGAGGCACGTGGTCACTCCAATTCGGGCAGGCTGAGCCGTGGTTTCGGTTCGATGGCACTGGCACCCAAAGATGTCTTTGATATATTCGATATATTGGGGGTCCGTAAAAACCCACCGAACTTGGGGTTGTGCCATCTACTATACTCTGAAAGCAATGTATTCTCAAAGACTGACAGGTAAGTCTTGTTGGTCTGGGCTTGTCTCACCATATGAACTGAAACATTGTCATCTCCGGAGGTCTTTTCAAAAGCACAACACCACAACATATCACAATACAAAATTGAGCTTCTTTCTGGTCCCTTTCGGGTGCTTCCAACAGAAGAGTTCTGGCAGCACACGCATGCTTTAACAAAAAGGTGCGCGATGGTGTACGTGTGTGTAGTACAACACAATAATGGGTTACTGAACCGCTTTCCCTATGGCTGGCCTTGCAGTGGCGTACACTCTTCCAGTATGGGGTTAGTTCACATTATTTCACACTTGGGAATAACTGTCCGTCGCAAATTCAACTGGCTACGGCTCTAAACGCTATGTTGCTCCGGACTCACGCTGGCGGGGACCTCTTGGGGTATTGATTTCTCAAGTAAATTCAAATGATCAGGGCTTCTTCACAGAAACCCACACGTCTACACGCGTCACAGTCACAGTTACATCCAACAAAGAAATTCGCGCATGGGGTCTGTTCGTCAATTCAACAGCGAGGCGCAGTGGTTTCACCCATCGCATCTGAGACAAGTGAAACCCCAAAACGACACAAGTCGTACATAGTTCTACTGTGTTCGCTTTTTACAGATCCCATACCTATATGAGCAGCGGACAAAATTACTTGTGTAGCCAAATACCATTTGACATGATTATATACAGTATCGTTTTTGGTGAGCAAACCATAGTTAGCGTAACATATCGGCACATAGACTAACACACAAAAAATATAACTCACAACCATAGATTAGAGGCTTACAGTGCTTTCTGCACAGGAATGGCACAGCACTTGATTTATGCACTTGGGTTCTTGTGGCACTGGGCTGTGTAAGGATCACAACACATAAGCGGGGACCTAGTAGCTCGGCCCATGAACAAACACTAGTAATGTGGAGAAGTAGGTTTACGGAGTGCCTGGCGTGACATTTAGGTTATCGTTCGCTTATCGTTTGGATGATCTTTTGGGAAGTTGTCTGGGATTATCATTGATGAAAAGTTGTGCCCAGCGGTTTAGCTCACATAAACAATTAAACATGCAACTGCAATAACATATTGTAACGACAAACGTCTTTGTACCCACTACATCTTAACAAAATTATCGTTGTTGGTGGGAACCATATCATTTTCCACAGAAACAAACTCCTCAGCATAGGTTTAGGGTCATGCCGTGACTAAATAAATCAACCAATAATTTTGTCCGTCGCTCATATAGGGATGAATACAGGGACGACTCAAAAACAAACACACGCTCCAAGCCATTAGAAAAAAAAAACAAAAAAACACAAAACCACAACGTTTAACACAGTTATGCTCGGTCGGTGGCTCACCACCGTCCCCGAGTCGCGTGTCGTCTGTCGCGTCGCGCGGACGGTCCTCCAGCAACTTGCGCGTCCGTTCCTTCCGCGCGTGCTGCTCTTGAGCCTGTGCGCGAGAGCCGTGGTCTTTCGTCGTTGGGCTGTTTCTCGAGAACACGAGCGGTGGAGCCGTTTGTTGTTTGCCTTGGAGTCCGCAGGGAGTCCGCCAAAAATGAGTCCGCAGAACATCCCGCGCTTTCTCCAGCAGGTGGCTTCCCTGTTTTGGACGGGCTTCTTTCGTTGCTTTCCGCGACGGGGGAATTGCTCTTCTGCCACACCTGAGGGCCGCGAAGAGACCAGAGACCGACCCTCAAGACCGTTGGATATTCGTTCGAAGGCTCAGGGCCTAAGAACGCTCACCGAAGTCAACTGGAAAACGAAGCGCATGGAACAAGGACATGTGACATAACAAAACCGAAACGAGACCACACAAAGAAGCCAAGCCCAAAAAATTGTAAATATTATATATATAAATCGTCATGGTCATCGCAGAAATCATGCTTTTGGTCGCGGCTGGGAATAAATTTCAGCAGAAAGAGATGGCTCATTTTGATAACGAATTATTGGTCATATTATATCAAGGAGGATCTCTTTCAAATCGTAAGGTCTTGTGACACAAGCGATGCAAGTTTCCAAGTTTGCTTGTATAAACTCGGGTGGTGCATTGACAGAAGCAAGGTGAACATAATTGGTGAGAATCCGGTTGCACTACTGCGAGTCAGATGTGATGGCAAGTTCTTTTGAAGGCATTGGATGGCCTATGATCCACCCGATGGCACCCAACTCTGCACACCCGCCAAGCTTCCTTAGAATCCCTTCCGAAATTGGTAGGGTCTGATGTCAAAACTCGGGTTTCGGCTTCTGAAGTTAGGACACCTCCGGTTTTCGTATGAACTCCTGAAAACAAATAATGTGATTGGATGCAACCACATCCCGCTTGCCTACTTTGCACGTGCTGAATTTCAATGGCACGAAAAAGTTCCTGCTTTGCTGGCTCTGACTCTGGTAAATAGTGAGCCACGGCTCGGGACCCACAGGTATTAAACATCAAACAGAACCAAACCTTCCATGTATACTGGAATAGATACCTACAGTATAGTGCAAAATATTGAAATATATTACTATATGACGTACCGAATGACCGAATCGTTCCAATCCGATAGATGATCTGGGGACACATCCTCAGTTCACACCCCGACGTGTTCGCCTCTTTAGCTCGCTGCTCCTCCACCGTCTTGGCACGGGCCTGTGCCTCCCGCTCGGACGTACCAAGAACTTGCACGTGCGAGGTTCTCAGCACGTCAGAGTTCGAAGGTCGCAACATGGATGTTCAACATGTTCCGTTCGGAAAATGTGAGGACCAACGCATGTTCAAGACCGAAATGCCTTTTGAGAAGACTTGCTGTTCGTTCTATGTTGGTACCCTGAATCGAGAAAAAGGTTTTCTTGGACAAGCTGCTGGAGATCAGGGGAAAGAGATCGTTAAACCTCATGTTTGCATGTCACAACTCTTTAGATGTACAAAGAGTAGATAGGGCCTGGCTGCCAGAGTCCTTGAGGGCACAGGGAAACAGTCGCTGCGTTCAAGAACTGCACCACGACGACCGCCGGTGATGTAAATCCATTATGGAATCCATTGCCCAGACACTCCATGTATCGAATATATTATATGCCTACCTTTTGACCCTAAACCAAACCAACGTAGGCCAATATGACATACATTAATTGACATACTGTACATGATCATACATGGAGTGTTTGCGATGGAGCTGTTTTTAGGGTCAAAGAGTCGTTGAACACCGAAGGACGTCAAGGAAAAGACTTGGCGTACGAACATGACAACTACCTGTACTTAACTCCAAATTGTAGCACATTGTGGAGGTGCGAACATGTTTTGTTTTTTCATTGCATCAATAAGCAAAGTGAGAGCTCCAAGCCAAGTGGGCAAAAAAGGAAACATGAACCCAACGCCTACAGTAGTGCCTGGAGTGCCTAGAGTGCCTGGAGTGTGTTCTGGTGCGACCAGGAATGGTGCCTCCACCTCTGGTTGGGATCATCATCATCATCGTCCTTAACCACACAAAAGACCTCACCCTCCAAACAGGTGCTTTCGCACTAACAGAGTAACACGACATGAATTGAATTGAATTGACACATTCGCTTTGATCAGTGTGTACAAAAACCGGTCAGCTCGCATCGGCAACGAACACCTTCCGTTCGGTCCAAACACCCGTATCGCCACCGTGGGTTTTCCATTTCCCCCCGCCTCAGAGGCCGCCTCCTGTGCTTCGCTCAGCTGTTTTTTCACCTGAAATCGATGAGAGCGACATCCAGATTCTTGGAGAATTTCAAGATGAATGATGAAGACTGATGGCCACATCCTGAACTCTTGTGGAGATTGATGGAGAATTTCTAGATGCGGAAGAAAGACACTGGAAGAGTCATCAAAAGGCGCTGCAGATTGGAGGAGTCCCCGCTGCGGTGCTCTATCTTAGTCTTTCAGGACCAGTTTTGTGGTGTCCAAAGGATCTGAGTCGTCTACCTCACACTGGTGGATCTGATACAAAAGATTAAAAAAGCCATCAGCTCCACCATCAGAAGGGCCTTAAGCTGCCATATGAAGGAAAGGACCGGGAAAGGAGTAACATAAACTAGTGCTGGAATTGCATGGAATCTATACCAGCATTGACCCCTCTTCCACCACCCACCCTTTCATGGTGGCTCAAAAATATGCCGGTCCCTGGAGTGGGGATATTTTGATTGGACAGCATGACCCAACCGGCTCAACTCTTTCGAGGCTCACCATGTTCGTTTCTACTCGTCCTTTCCACCACAGGGTGAGAAGTACTGTAAAAACATTGCCACAGAACTCTCCGAATGGCCACAGAGTTCAGCCGATCGGAATGAGCCACATGTTTAGTACGTGCCTTGATAGTTCTGCGAGGCTCCTGGGGTCTTGCTCCCCCCTCCTGGCCTCTTCCAACTCCAAAGGATAATCCTTCGCGCCCCGCTCGCCCAGCACGAATGGACCAAGTCATGGTTTCAACCGCCAGTTTGACTAAAAATTGGTCTTTGATGTTTCATTTGCATCATTGGTGGCAGGGTTGTTTTCACACCAAAAGAGTTCTTGTTGGCAGTGGCATAGGTGGTAGTGGTGTTGTTTCAGCTGCCTTGAGAAACATGACATGTGTGTAACTTTATTGCTATATATCATTGAACGCATACGAAAGCCAACTTCCTTCTTGCCCGATTGAGTGACAGGAAAAAGGGATGCTCAAGAGTTGCAATCTATAAGGTATTCAGCAACTAAGACTTCAATGGAGGTGTCTTTTTGATGTGATTGGTGGATGATTGCGGGGAGCTACCTATATCATCAAATGATCGTCTGGAAGTCTTATGAAGTCTTAAAGGATATTAAAGGAAAAAAAAACGCCTCCGAGGACAGGCTTCATCCCCGCCGTGTTGGATTGTTTCTCTGAGAACCGATCTGATCCTGTCTCCGTTTCAGTAGCGAGTAGCCCGTCACACATATGATACCATGTCCCAGGAGTGCAAACCAAAGAAGAAAACCTGCAAAGAAAGCCCGCAACAATCAACAACTTTACACGCAAACCGGCTGCGCATGGGCATTGGCACAGCGGGCTTCCCCAAACTTTAGAGATTCGACGGATTCTTCACCTTTTCACTGGTCTCCTCAGAAAGGCTGGAAAGGCCCGAGTGCTGGCGCAAGATCTTCGGCTGATCTTGCTCCAACAGCTCCTCCTGACCACAGCCGCTCGCGGTGCGATGCCCTGCGATGCCTTCTGCACCAAACCAAAGACCCGTCCAATGACGGCACAGAAATCAAATTCAGGATTTCGGGCCACTTGTAATCAGCACAAGACCCTATGTTTTGAATTGCCTTGGACTTTCGGGGAAAAGGAAAGCCAAAAAATAACGTAAGTATACAAAAAGGTGACCTGGGGGAAGGCTCCATGGGGGAAAAGTTCCATATACATCCTCCCTTGTGCTGCAGGTCTTTCTCTTTGTACACGCCTTTTTGAAAAAGCTAGAGCAGTTGGAACGTATACTGAAGGCAATTTTCCCATGAAGACTTTAAGACGGCATCGGTGCTCGCATGAGATCAACCGAGTGTATCCTGAATGACCACATACAGATACAAACAGCTATGGCCAAAGACACTGTCTGGGGATCTGCCACAAAGCCAGTCGATCTCGTTGACATTACAGCCTGCACCTCTAAGATCCTCTAGGTTTCAAACCATACCCAAGTTAATAATGACAATGGAAATCTGGATATTTCTGGTATGTCCTGGCAACTTTAAGCCTTGAGCCCGCCGCAATCATTTCCAGACCCAAAGTTGGTTCCCAGAGTACTTCGTGATCCCACATACACCATTTACATCATAATAGTGAAACAATATTAGTGTATATCAAAGAGTCACCAAATATTAACCCATATGAGACATCACAAGAAAAGTGCCCAATCTTTCCGCACGTTCCTCTAAAACAACATGCGAACTCGCTTGAAGGTCGTCCTTTGGATACTTCCTGTCCACCAGGCACCGCCCGACCATCTCTTGGATCGAAGGCGACCGAACACTCAAAAGAGTCCCCTCCCCTGGAGCAGTGTCCTTGTACTCCAGCAATCCTGGCCAGCGATGAACGCCGGTGCGGTGATGGCAGCCGAAACGAATCCAGTCTGACTTCACCGGTGGTTCCTGGAAGCTTCGCCGTTCCCGAGCTGGATCTCTTTGGAACAGCTGGGCCCGTAGAAGGGCAAAAGGGCATGACAGGCAACAGACAGGCTCCTCGCCTTTTTGGGAGAGTCCTCTAAATTACTAGGCTCTGCGCCAGCACCCTGCGAACAACTATACGGTTTGGTGGGAGGAGCGTCCCGGCATTCCCCCAGCCATTTTCCCAAGCCGCTTAGTATCGCATAGCATGTCCAACATAGGAAGCATTTTTGTCTTGGATGTGTCAAGGGCAAAGAGTTCTGCGGTGCAACCGAAATCCTGCGCCGCCTGCACTCTGCACTATGAAAACCTATGAACACCGAAAGCCGAAAGCCTGTCAATTTCATGACTCCAAGAACGGTCTGGCACGCAACTGTAGGCTCCCATCCTGGTGACCCAAAAACGTCGCGATGCTTCCGTTTTTGGGACCCTGTTTTGGACATTGAACAACCAGCCATTGCTCTCCTTTGCAGTCATCTGATGTCATCTGAACTCCGAAAACCTCGTCAAGCGGATCTACGGCCACACCCCCGTGGCTCGTCTTTCGAATCGACTGGGATGCGACCAGACGACACGTGGCTCCGAGACGGCACGTCGGGCCTTTCCGTGGGGATGACGATGACACCGACGCCTGCAGTCCGAACCGAGCGAATCGAGCGAATGAAGGACGAAGAGGTCCTGCAGTCCGAACGTCCAACACCTTTTCGAAAAACTCTCCGCCTCATTAACATGGAAGTGAAAAAAAACCGTGTTTGTAAAGGAAAGTAGCTTTCCAAGGGACCATGCAAACCGCTTTCATGTTAGGAAGTTGGAGTGTAAACCAAATGGACGACTTTTTGAATGCCATGTGAGTCTGTGAGGCCCCGAATGGGTTTCACATGGTTTCAACCTGAAACACCTCTGGGGTGTGAGCTCGCGGTTGGGCGGCCCACAAGCCAGTGGCCGCCAATGGCCTCTGGTTTTAGGTCGAAGGAGGCGCCGGGCCAACACTCGATCGAAGGAATCATTCGGACCGAGACAGCTGAGGCAAAACAACGGCAAAGGCCTCGGTCGATGTCAGGAAGTGTGGCTCTAGACTAGACTTGCATGGAAGGATATGGAATGCCTGGTTGTCTTTCTCACTTTCTCCAGGCCTTTGCTTGCCAGTCTCATGAAACCTCTGTGGCTTAAGCTTCTGAAACATATGAAACCCCAGAACACACGGCTTCCGAAGCCATGAAGAACGCCCGGATGAAGACTCACATATTACGCAAGCGATGGCCAAGAAAGTCGCCATCGCCCAAGCCCAACCATTGATCGAATCTCCCGCCAAGAAAGTACACAGTGCAAGGATTGTGTATGGACAGGGAGACCCCAAAGACCTTGGGCAGAGGAAACATCAACCATTTTGGGGGGTTCTCTCCGCTTTACCCTGCCTCTTCCATCTCCGGGTCGGCTGATTGCTCGCGGCGCGCCACCTTCGCGATCTTGTCCTGGATGAGGCCGGTGCGGACGACCCAGGTGATCCCAAACATCAGAAACCGTTGTGACTTTGACAGGGAGGTTTGACTTTGATGTTGTGATCAGTGAGGCGGGTTGCTTTGCTAGATGTTGTGATCTGTCTTCTTTTTGTTCAGGGAGGCGGTTGCTTTCTCGAAGGTACAGTAATTGACATAAGGAAGGATTTGGTCCTCCAAGCAAAGAGTGATGGGCCCGGACCCAACTCATTATACACCCCTTTGGTCGGGGTCGAAACTTAGAAGGGTTTGGGAAAGGTTCACCAGTCGAAACACCAAACAAACCGAACATATCGGAAAACTAGGATGCAACTGGCGCCACTGTTCAGGTTTTTCATGTGTTCCAAAGCATTCTGACTGCACAGTCTTCGTCGAAGCGGATCCCTCTTTCAGGACCTGTTTTCATCACCTCTACGACCCAGTAGTTTTGAGGTTCCATGTTAATCTTCCGCACCGTAACTAGTAACATCTACATCGATCTAGTGATTTCGACAGGTGTTCGCAAGCCAACGCATGAAGCTGCCGGAAGCGGTCAGGCCATGTCAGGCCGGTAAGGCCTTTTCCTCCAGGCCGACCGTGGGTTTTGGAATGTGCCGTTTAAGCGGTAAGGCCGACCCGGTCCTCCAACAACTTCCGTCTGGCAGCCTTCTGCTCCTGCAATAGACTCATAGACAACAAAGATGGAAGTGGATGGCACCTTGGAAGGCTCTTAACTTCAATTTGTTTAAAAGGGAGTGGACACTAGTCCTTGGAAGCGTACCTAGTTTCAAATCCCACCAATCTCTACACACGAGGCTTGCCACAAACAGCAAGAAAAACACGCACCAGGTCGGGTGAGGGGGGCGTCAAATTGTGCGATATTTTGAATAAGTTATTCATTCCTTCATGACAACTTCAACAGGTGATGACCCAATTCTTTACCGTCGGAAACAGATTTAGACATGGAAACCAGATGAAACAAGTGTTGCTGTCGCAACATGAAAGTTAGAAGACCCCTTGACACAGGGGCAGGAGTCTGCCAGTGAGTAAGGCACTGCACATGTAAAAATACTATACTTATACAGCACATATATATATATATACATGTTATATATCGATGATCATAATCTGTATTAACATGACATAAATCAATTAGTATCAACTAGTGCATTCACATGACTCTCATAGCAAGAAGGTCCACTTCGGTTCATCGCGAATCAACAAAAATAAAAACTCTTTTTCGTACACAGAAAAAGCTCCATCTTTCAGATGGGCGACCGGGTGAAAGGCTCATGAAAACCAGTCCATCTCTGTGACTGACTTCGCCAAATCTCACCTCCAACACCTCCGGATTGCTGTCTGGTTGATCGCGCTGTGCGACTTTGGCCAACTTCTCCTGGCAGAATTCGCAAACTCGGTGATTTCACGATCCCAACCAAACATTGATCCAGGGAATTCAAGAAAACACGTTTTTCCCTTTCACCTCTTGAAATTCTGGGGTTCATCTCATGACACATCAAGCCCCTCCAAGTAGTTTTGTTCATGGAGAACCTGTAACCGGACTTGATTTTGTAGAAAGGCCGGTAGGACACATCACGATCACATCTATACCTAGACCTTCCAACGGCTAAAATATTCTAGTACGATTGGGTTGTTGTATTAGTTTCTGATGCTTCGATGGAAAAAATGGTGTAGTTGTCAGAAACGACTGATTTTTGCTTAACGGTGTGATTTGGGTATGCTCCACAGATTTTGATTCGAGTGGCCATCACCGGCTATCACACATCTATATTCAGGGGATGACTTCCGTATTTATCAACCCATCCATCCATCAGCCATCCCATTGGACACAGTGGAAGACGCCAGTCATCATCGACCCAGCAAAGACCGACCTTCAAGTTTTTTTGCGGCCTTCTTGATGACGATAACTGGATTAATGCCCAGCTGCCAAGTGTCTTCATTTACCTTTATCATTATATAATGAACGACTTCGAATTCCGGTGGAATTGCAAGATGCGATGCAGGATATGTACAAAGAAATGACAAAACTGGCTACAGGGTTGCAATAAGTTCATCCTTGGTCAATGGCAGAAATGCTTCGATATACAATAAATACATTGATGTCACCACGACAAATGAGGAATTGATAAAAACGTCTGTTCATGCCCAGGTTGTGACCTCTAAAGACCTACATGGAGTGGACAGCACTTAATGTTATTCTGAGGTTTCGGAGACAGAATTTGATGAAAACCCACGACCAGTTTTACCCGCCAAACGCCCGCAAAAACCCGCAAAACGTCAGCAAAAACCCGCAAACGCCCACAAATCCCAGAAAGTACTGTAGGTCAAATGGGTTTTTGAGAAACCTCTAAATTCGTTGAATTGCAACTCTTTTGGGCTGAATGTCATGAGTAGGATTGCCTGCTCGACTTGGACAATCTTTGGTCATAAGCTGTTCGGGAGAAAATGAGTGCCTAGTCATGTTTTCCTACGAGCATGATGTTGACATGAGTTCATTTGTTAGCAAAAATGCAATTATGGTTCCTTTTGAAAACTCGTATATCATTACCGTATCTTGTAGTTTTGCTGCGCTCGAGCCTGCTTATAATTCTTGGAGCTCTAGGCCAATGTCTGATCGACCAGGGATTAGTGAAAGCCGCTCTTTCTTAGAGGGGTAAATCGACTGCTCAAGCGATGGCAAACCCAGCTGCCCTTGATTTCGCCACACGTTTTGTGCAAACATAAGAGATCATACCTTTGAACTCC